TTAATTATTGTGAAAGAGTACTTTACAAAATTGACATGTTCACGGTTTTGTAAATTCTTTTGAAGCACCGACAACTGTTAAATTCAATAATTTCTTTAGAAATGTATGAAAAGAGTGAAAAGTGTAGAAAACAATTATGAAATTCATGAATATTGAAGATAGTTATTAAGTATTTTTTTAATTTGTAGTTAAAAAAAATTAATCAGTAATGATATGGAACGATGTCCCTAATGTTAAATACTTTAATAATAAAAATTAATTATTTTCTTGTGAGCAGTATTTTAATTTTTAAAAATTAATGTATTATATTTTTAGTTATTATAATTATGTTTTAAAATGCAATTTATTTCAGTGGGAAGAGAGAAAGTAACTCTTCTTTTTTCTTTCTGAAAATGATCACCTCAGTATACTTGTCACTACACGGTCTACCATGCTCGATAAATGACTTTGCCCAGGGAAGAAAATCCTGTTAAAGTAGGACAGGGATTTGGTTTTTTTTTTTAAAAGAATAAGTTCAAAATTATAGCGAGGTACTACAGAGCCCACTTCGTTAAAAATGTTCATGACCAACACCTCAATTTTACGACCATATTACGACGTAATTTTACTAATCGTTTTGTTCAACGTATTAAATGATGATCGCAGATTTCGTTTTCCATTCGTTAAAGTACGACTTAAAGTAGACGGATCATATTACAAAATCACTTTTGCCCATTCGTTATCAAACATCAACCGGGGGCAGTTATCTCCCTCTAGTAGCCCCGATTCAGAAATACACGTGTGAATGTACTACCCCGTTCGGCTTTATTAAAAATCTTTTCTTACTCATTTTGCACGACGCAGTTACTTCTTCTAAACATTTCGTCAACAATTTACGCACATCTGAGGGTCAATTCTTGAAATCATACGACTAAATATCGCATGCGATATGAGTCATACATTTTATCGACTGTGACAAATTTTTATCGCATGCGACATACAATTGGTGTTCTTGAATTGAAATCGATAAGATTTCATCACTTGTCGAATGCGTTAAAGTTTATCGAATGAACCGCTATGGTAACAATACAAATCTAGATTTTAACCTCAAATAAACTGGAAATTATATAAATTATTATTTTATTCCTTTATTATGACGGAATGTTATCAACAATAAATGTATCATATGAGGTGGATATATATATATATATATATATATCCACCTTGGTATCATATAAGTCGATGTCCCTATTGGCCTATTATTCTAAAATCACGATTCACGGTTTATACTTTATACTTTCTATTAGATTAGTTCAAGCCATTACAACAAGCCATTCATTCATTACAAACAAGTAAAAAAATATTAAGTTACTAAATTACTAATAACATAGGTTAAACATAGGTACATCAATTCCTTAACAAAGTTTTTTGTAAGCCTAAAGTTTTTTACAAATAAACAATCTGACAATGTAAAAGGATCTGTCATATTGTCTGGATTGCGAGTCTGCCTTTCATAATATATATATTATGATTTTCGTGTTCCTCGACATTATTGGCAAACAATATTGACATATCTTCAAAATTAGCCATTCTAATAGTAGAATTATAATATATATATTATATAATTATATAGAATTCTATATAGCACCGTTTTCCAACCTTTTTAGTAGTGCGGACCACCAATTCCGTAGAAAATCTTTGAGGCCCACCAATAGTTATATATTTATAATGTGCGCATACGTCAGTTATTACAATTTATTTATTAAAAAACAATTGTTTATCAAAAAAAAAAAAAACTACATTGAACCAGATTATTCAAGAATTAAACAATTTAATGTAATTTTGAATTGTCCCCCACGAGAGAATCAATATCTGGATTAAAAATGAAAAGTTTTAACCTTAAACCACTCAAAATTCAATTTATTCCAATATTTATTTAAAAAAAAAATTAAAGTAGAAAAAGTTCGTTCACATAGACACACAGGTTGTCGAAATATACCATCAAGTTTTTAAGTGAAATTTTAGAATCTTCTTCACTTGCTGATATTTAATTAAATATTAATATTTTTAAAATATATGTAAGTAATGTTAATATAATATGGTTCATGGCCCAGTACCACCTGCTCGTGGCCCTACTAGTAGGCCACGGTCTATGGGTTGGGAATCGCTGGTATAACACTACTGCAAAATAATTAAAAACAAGTAATGACTAATAATGCTATAACTATTGCACTAATGAGTAATGACACAAACACAATTACAATTTACAAAACTTAAAATTATAATTTATAAGGTTTAAATATGAGTACATGACACTCATAATCATAAAGTATCATGCGATATAGACTAGTCACCGACTTTTTACCCATTCGACTAATAGTCGAATGTTTTTCGTTCGTCTAAAGTCATACCATAATTAAAGAATACCAATTATTTATTTTCATGCGATAACATTTTTGTCACATGCGACAAAGTTTATCACAATTTCAAGAATTGGCCCCCTGGACGTTCAGTTGATAATGACTCTGGCCGTTTATTCTTCTAAAAGTCTACAAAAATATTCTTCGTTGTATTGTGCAAGGATTGATCTTCAGCCATTGTTGGGAATACGCCAAACAGTTATCAGTGGCGACGTGACGACAGATTTTTGAGTCCTTGGACCTAAGTCAGTGGATGAGTTTGACCATTGAGTATCGAGTGGGTATGTAACATGTAGAACGAATAGTGGGAGAGCTCTTTTTACAAGCTACCCTTAAATTTTTTTTTGGGTGGTTGGGGGGGGGGGAAGGCAAAATTCTAACAAAACTCATGAAGTAAAATATTTCGCGCCACCACTGACAGTTATTGATAAAACGAGTTATATTGGATTGCACAAGATTATGTCTTAACCGGTTATTATACAATTAAACACTATGAACTATTTTACATTTGTCGAAGGAATATGTATCTGATAATCATAGAAACAATAAAAAATTATATTTTAGGCATGATATTTTTTCACTACGTAAAATTATTATTTCGTAAAAATAAGAAAAAATAAAGATACAAAATATGTGTATTTCAACCGGGTGTAGCAAGGCCGTACCTAGGGGGGGGTTTGGGGGTTCAAACCCCCTCTAAATTTGTTCGTGTTATATTATGTCATAGTCTAGAATAATCAATAAACATTATACGTGTACCTCAAATAAATAAATATAATATTCTTGTGTTTTTGTAATGTATTTGGAATAATAATTATAAACATTACAGCTAGGTATAGTGTACGCAGACAGTCAATATTACTTTGTAGTTTGTGCATATACAAATGACAGCTATGGTTTACGTTATAAATAATAATACCTGGTAAATTCGCTTCGGGTGTATCAAGTTCGGTTATGCGGACAAATATATTATAAACTAAAATAAAAAACATTGTACCTAATACCAAATGGACTAAACTGACATCAATGTGTGATACTCGACGGGTTGAAAACCACGACGGAATTCAGAGATTTGTTGAAATTTTTCAACCGATTGTTGAAACTTTGGAACATTTACAATTAGTTCAATACATGAATATATCATCAAAAGCACTTCAATTTTATCGAGCTATAGTTACTAGTGAATTAAGTATAGTTACATTAAATACTCTGTTTTCAATGACACTTCCACAATGTAAAATTTTACAATCAATTAGTTGTGACTTAGCTGTACAACATATCGAAATAATACTAAATTAATTAATTCATTTACGTGAAACTATTGATCATACATTTGATGACATTTTTGAAGAATCCGAACTCCTTTTAAAACTATGCCAGTGGTGTTTTTGAGGGGAAGCGTAAAGACGACAATCATCCTCATCTATTGATATATTTTTGTAAGGTGTTTGTTGTACATTTACTAAGATAAAATGTGTAAAATTACGAAAAAAAAATATAGAATTTATTGTTTAGCAGATAATCTGTTGATAATTATTTTAAATAAATATACATACTCTAATGTTTTTTTTTTTGGCAGTTAATGACAGTGTAAGTGATATTATAAATTCTGTATTTTTTTTTTTTTTCCATAAGTTTATACTCGTCAAAAACCGGTTATGAACTTCGTAACTGAATAGTTGATGGGAGGGGGGCAACGAAAGTTATCAAATGCTGTCGTAAAACACAACGCAGCAGCACCAATCGGCCGTAATTTTATGCGTTTTTCTTATAAAACATAGTGTGCACGTTCCAATAATATAGGTTACTGAGTGGTTTAATCGTACAAACACATACGATCAATATTGTAGAGGAGATTTTTATCTGGTCCCGTAAGAAGCCTGATTTTTGTTACCTTTAAATCATCATGAATTATATCATGATTAATAATACACTTTTTTAAATTTTTCAAAATTTATTTTTAGAACTTAGAAATTACAATTTTAAAAATCGGCTTTCTTACGGAATTGGAAATAACTCTCCTCTACAATTTTATTCATAGATATTTTTTAAGATAAAACCACTCAGTAACCCATGTTATTGGAACGCGCAATCATGTTCTTAAATGTATTTTTCGAGCGATTTTTTTCCGTGACACATCCATGATTTACGTTGTAATAAAGTACATATTAATTATTTGTTTGCTCTAGTTATATTTTTGTACTCATTTTCCTATAGCAGTACTAATACACCAGTATTTGATGAAACATTTTTGACTTTTACCGTTTTACATTTGAAAGCAAATTCACGTTGAAAATAATTGATTCGTAGTCTATTTATTTTTAAATGATACAGAAACTTTTAATAAAAAATTTTTTTTTTTTTTTTACAAAATTTTAAACTTAAATGCTACTTCTGCAGTATAATTTTTCCATGAGATTTAATTTAATACATCCTATGATACTAAAAATATTACATTTTGATCGGAATCACCAGCGAATTTTTCTTATCGGTATAAAATATTTAAAATACATATGTAACTGTCCGTTATTAACTATCAATAATAATTTTTGGCACATGAGCGATGTAATGGTTGAGCGATTAATATAATGTGTTTCTATAAAAAAAAAAAAAAAATAATACTGATGAACCCATAGTCTATACCGACTGCGGTATGCTAGCAAATCCATATGGCAGATTTTAATTCAATTCAAAATATGAAATTAAAAAAATAATTAATAAAAATGTTCTAAACGATACAAGGTAAGTTTAAAAAGATAATTTCCCCCAAATTATATGAAATTTAAATTTAAAAGATAATCTGATAATTGTTTTAAAACTCTTACATTTTTGTTGCAATGGCTTAACAATAAACATGGAACGGACAGTAAATTTACATAGTTATCTTCGTCTTAATTATAACTTAAATATTAAAAGAACATATATAAAATATGCATTGAAACAATAAAATCATTATCAAGTACAGGAATTAATCGACAAAATTACACGGGTGTGCCGATTATAAAAATAAAAATACATAAATATATACTTATACATGTACGGTTATTAAAAAAAAAAAAAAAATACATTTACAAGCATAAATACAATACGATTAATTTTGATTTGATTAATATCATGGTACGAGTATATACAGTACAAAAAAAATATAAAAATAAAAAAAAATATAAAAAAATAATCATATAAGTTTAATCAAATCCTCCGTACGAATACGGACAAGCGCAGTCTCGGAATATAGTGTAGGTACATAATAATGTACCATAAATAGGACACGTTTTATTTGATTCTCGCAATACATATCATTATACCGCAACTACACTCTCGGATGAAATGACAATATAGCGTACAATATTAATGGTATGCACGAGAATAATTATGTTGAATATTTTAGTGGACGATCAATGGACAAGATCCCAGCAGTATGTTGTGCAGACCGTCCATGTTGGTCCAGTCGGTACGTTCTCCACCGATGACCATGTTCCTTATGCATCCTTTGAAATTCTCTCTCGTTCCTAGCGTGCCACTGGACGCAGAGTCTGTAAAATAAATGTGTCGATGTAATAAACGTTAATACGATTGCGTTTCCGGCTGTGGGAGACGACCGATATCTAACCGGTGCCTGATCATCACTTTTTAAGACTTAAAATTCAAGCACCGGATTACGTGTTGAACAATTGATATTGTACAATGCCATAAGGAATAATGTGTCCAGGAGTTCGGTCAGCACTTGACCATGTCATGGTATTGTACGAATAAAACGTGCTAAACAAATTGCTTTCGCACAACGTTGCACTTCCGAATTCAAAAATAACTCGACCGCAGTTGGGATTATTTTTTTCTTATTTACATTCATTCTCTAAACACCCATAATATAATGTATTATATAATAAAATGTCAATTTGAAACATTGAAGATTTAATATTGTTAGGTATCGAAAAACGACGGGAAAAAAATAGAAGACAATTTATATTTCATCGAACACTATTTTCTGCGGTAAAGGAATTTTTTTTGGATCTTCAATAAGTCCTACACCGTCATGCCTACTTCAAACCTCAATATCATTATCAGAAACGATTTAGGAGTTCACGCGTTTATTACCAGGTAATCCACCGATGTAAAGAGGGCTGTTTGTGCGCGCTCCAGTTATGTGCCCGTTGTCAAGTAACCAATACTTCTGCTCGAATTGGTCTACTTTCAGAGTGAGTTTGTCCTCCACGTAGAACGCTTGGATCTGATGCCACTTGTTGTCGCATATCGCGAATTCCGATTGGAAACTTTGTTCAACGCGGAACGGTCGACGGTCACCCATGTCGCCGGATATAATCACTTTGCCTTGGTTTAATTCTAACGACAACGCCGGATACCCTTCAGGTTCAGACACGGACAGAAGGACTGCAGTGGTTTGTGTCGTTCTCAGCTCTAACGACAATTCTAGCAATGCGCCGACGTAAAATTGGTTTTCTGTAGAAATTCGGAAACATTAATTCATCTCAACACTTGCAACATGGACTTGAAAATATTATTTCTTTGGACGGGTACGTAGGTTCACGAACACCTACGTTACCGCACTATTATATAATCTAATCACATTTTAGCGACTCACTATAAATTGCATACGCATCTCCCGGGAAGAACGATCCCTTTTCTACTTGCGGGAAACACTGCCCGACCTTGTGACGTATCGCTTTTTCACTTATCAGTTCTTCTTCTTGGTGATTAATCGAAAACCCTTGCATACATCCTTTGAATGCTTGCACGATCTGTAAAAACGAATTGTAAAGAAAACGAAAACATAATTTTTTACTGCAACTATCATAGTCATACCAATGAATCCGGTAGCTGAATATCATTTTCTGGAATACCGCCCACGTACATCGTATTCCCCAGGCTCAATTTTTTAGTCAGGTTCAATTTTTCTTGCGGGATCGAATCAATTGCGAAGTTCAACGTTTTGTTTTCTTTTACTAATTGAATCTACACAGCAAATTCAAGCGACACATGTAGTTAGAATGTGTTCAACAGAACATAAGTAGTTCGAGTGAATTACCTTGTGCCACAGTCCATCATTAAAAACAGCTTGAGTGGATATTTCAACTCTCTTCCGTGTCTTGAGCACTAACTGCACACGACCGTTGTACAAGTGCATCATTAAATAGTTGTTTTGCTTGCCTCGCGTTCCCTAAAAACCCATATGACAATATTAATGCACCCAAAATACCTACAAGTAAAATGCAATGTAATATTGTCTTACAATCAGCGTGAATATCAGCCCGTTTGGATAGAAACTCCTGAATCTGAAGTCCATTTTAAAGTTCTTTTGCATGTTGTGGCGTTTACCGAACGTGACGAGCACATAGCTGTGCGGATTGTCCCCGAACTTAACTGCACCGGGTTCGAGCGAGAAACTACCCTCTTTCATACAGCCAACCGATTTTTCAGCAGAAGTCATCGATGCGATTTCGCTGTACACGTTATTATCCTTCTGTGGCACTGGCCCGACTTGACCGATGGCTGCGTGTACGAACTCGATCGGTGAATCGAAATACAAAAGTCTATAAACACAAACATATATTTATACTCAATCCGTTTTGCACGCTGTGATGCGCTTTGTACGTACTGGTCGTTGAAAATGGCATCCTTGATCGTACCGATTAACGGCACACTGGACACGGCTTTTCCAGTCGTGTTTATTTCGATCGGTAGTCCACCCAAAAACAGTCCACCAGCCACACCGGGCGCTTTGACGACATTGGACCCTTCGGGCAGCGATGAGAACGCGTGCAGAACATCGTCAATTCGCAGCTCCAACTTCTTTCCATTTTTGGTCACCATAATGGAGTGATACTTGCCATCACCAAATTCGAAACCTTCACTTGCGAGTCTGACTTCTCCGAGCCCTGCATTTATCCTAATGTCCACTTGACCTCTTCTCAAACTGACGGAATAGTAATTTTGTTTGTTCTGAAACAGACGGGGAAAATATACATGATTAATTGATCATATTTCAAAGCAAACGCGCTGTAATTACTTCTTGGTCGATATTGTTATTAATTTCTTCTGGGTTATCACTTGTATTCATCATTCCGGTCTGAAATACCATACAGTTTATATACTTACGTTCAATATCGTGATAAAGAATTTAATTTTATGTATACTTACTGATAGCGATTCGGTCGTTGACAACATTAATAGAACGTCCTGTTGTAACGTAGCAAACATAAATCCAAATGATGCTTTCTTTTTTAACGTGTGCGACACAAGCTCCAAATAACCATTTCCATAGAATCCCACAATAGATAATGGCTGTAAAATTTAATGTTTAGTTAAGAAATGCTTTGGATTAGTGCAAACAGCCATTATACCTTATCTGAACAAGTAGGCTGAACGCCCCATGAAATTCCTCTCATTGGATTGTATCCTTGTTGGGCGATTTGAATGTCTGACATACATCCCAAAAACGATTTGGGTAAACCACTTACAGACTTAAAGCCAGGAGGAACGCCACCAATCATATATTCCGACTCAGATAAATCTGGTATATCATTTTGATTTGGAGGAGGAGATGGGACACCTTCTTTTGATTCTCCACCCACTTTTAAAACGCCTTTAATAAAATTAAATGTAGTTAGTACAACAATGAACACCAAATATTATTTTTTAAAACGCAATCCTTTGAAAATATATTATTTTGTAAAAACTAAAAACTAATTTATGTTAAAAAAAAAAAAAAAAAAAAAAAAATAGTAGATATTAATAATAATAATAAAATCTTGTTTTTAATTATTTTATGTTTAATATTGATAAAAGGATTCCTACTTCTATGCGAATATATAATCACCATTAGAAGATATTAAACAGAGATGTGAATAAATACCATTAAAAAATAATGGGTAGAGCTATGAATAAATAATATTTCTGATCGATAAAATTTCAATTAAAAAATTGAATAAGTTAAATAAAAAAATTACCAAAAAAAATATAGACATTATTAAATTAAAATATTTACAACGATAGTGTTCGAAATATTTAACATGACAAATGGTGTAATTAATCAATTAATTATAAACAAATAAAAATTATAAATATGCTTTGAAATCAGGGTTTCTAAATTTTACATTGATGAATTTTAATATATTTAGTATGCTATTTTGACAGCTGTTATTAGATTCATTTTTAGGGCTGAACGTGAGATTGATCAAATATATTTACTTTATAAGGTAAACTAATTTAACATTATGTTATTTTTGTTCTTATTAACCTTTTTCTAATTTCTTCTTTCTGTCAAAGTATCGAGTTGCTTCTAGTTTAACCCAATTTCCAGTGTTGTATCGGCTTGTTGTTGATATTTCGAGAAGGGAGTATCCAGAGTAACTAACACGGAATACCACTTTACCATCATGTAATCTGATTTCAATGTATTGATCCTACGTCATTATAATGTCGGTTAATTAAATGAATCGATTTTTAGTATCCAACAATGATCTACTTACGGGCTGCGAGCCTTCGACAAGGAATAGCAGAGATCTTTCATCGAATGTTTTGAAACTCAGAGAGACGCTGAATAGATATTTATTGTAGGTAGTCGTTGTATCGGAATGTAATATGGCATAACCATCTCCAGAAAATCTGAAAGACCCATCGTCGACCAATTCTTCAGCCCTATAATATCAATTAATTCGGATAAATAAATTGTTTTACAAGAGTACTACCTACAGATTATTAATTATCCTATGAAAATCTTTGATTGATAATATACTATGTACCCTTCAATGCACGCAGAGCAAGTTCCCGATGGTTGCGATTTGAAATTCCAAAGACCAACCGGTCGACCATCAAGCCATACTTGATGTAAGCAACCAATCAATCCATGTTGCCTGGAATGTAAGTACGGTGGTAGTGGTGCCTTGTCAATTCCTCCAATCCATATTTGATCATCAGCGTTTATGTCCAAACGTCCCATTCCAGCAGTGGACATGTTCGTATGCGGAGATCCCATAGCCAAAAGTGATCCGTTGGGTACGACTTGAGGTCTGATCATTAGTTTACCCAAGTTGTGAATTCTTTCTGCTTCAATTCTATACCAGTGTTGGTCGTTGTTCAGATCACTTGCAGTTTGTATGTGCATCGGGTGCGTAATCTCACCGACACCACCACCAACATCCCAAACGAAACGTATCTTACGGTTTACCATTTCAATTGCAATGAAATCACCCTAAACAAATTAAAAAAAATCGACTGAGCACGTGCATAGAAATAAATAATTGGACATTTTTTTTACCGTAGTTTTGCTCGAAAGATAAAATAATAAGGCATCTCTAGCGTTTGAACTAATAGCGTATGAAAGAATAATTGTATTCCTAGTACTGGGTTCTAAGAACTTTGGTTGATACGTACGAATACACGCGTTGCCCGTACCGTTTTCTTGACCAGATATCGATATACGAATCTATATATAAAAAAAAAAAACCAATAACTTATTTACAATAAATTTGAGCAAAACATGAATAAAATTACCCCGTCAGCAATTTGATGAGCTTTTGTAATTTTATTCCTCAGAGCTTCAAGTTTATCAATCATAGAACTGTTCCATGCCGCTACTTTCTTACTGAAGTCGTCAGACGTTTTGGCTATTTTGCTTAACATATCAATCGCTTTTTTTCCATTTTCTTCGACTTCGTCAACTAAAGAACACCATTTTAATTTTATAATTAATTTCATTCAACTTATGATAAATATTAATCGTACTTCTGTCTTGAGTATTCGTTAAACTTGGTTCTCCTTCTTCGTTCAGTTGAACCAATATCGGACGCAATTCTTTAACAATTTTACCTTGAATTTCATTAATTTTAGTTTCAACGTTTGTTGTTTCTATCACCAATGGATCAACGTCTTCTTTGTTATTCAGCTCCATGTTCATTCCTTTTGCAAAATGATTCGAGTAAAATAATTTTTGTTTCTTAAAAGTAAAAAATTAAGAAATAATAATAATACCTTCAGATTGTTCAAGTTCGGTAATTTGTTTTGAGTTCACATTATCGTTTTTCACAATTTGTTTCATGTCACTTTTCACTGTTTCAATATTTTCAACTTGCACATTGAAATCTGACTGAATTGAATCAACCATATTTTTAGTGTCCAAAGTATTCTTATAGACTAGTTTGGATAATTCCTCAGACGTTTTTGCTTTGTCAATCAACGATTCTTGATATACTCCTGGATAAGCCTGAAAACAACAAGTATTGATTAAATTATTTATATTTGTAACTGATTCTAATGCCCGATAGGACCAAACTTGGCAATCGGTAAATATTATTAAACTTAGATAAACTTTTATCTAATGATTAACTAATGTTAATTGACTAATACTAATTTTAAGTGTTGCACAATCATTGTTTTATATTCAGGTTATTACCAATATACTGGTTATTAAATAAATGGTCTCAACAACATAAGTTGAAATTACCATCATAATCATATAATTATGTCCACTAAAGAATGATAATGAAATTTAACTATACATAAAATTTTACAAGGCGATAAATCAGTATCTAATTTAAATGGTAATAAAGTACATTTTTAACAACAGATACAATTTTAAACATGGTCTGTGCAACATATTTTATTTTAACTATAGTTAAACGAGTTTATCTTTGTGTAAATATTTAGTGCAACCAGGAATAAGTAATTTGTAGTTTCACTCGATACACGGCAATAGATTTCATTAAAATATACGAAACCAATTATAACTTACAGTTCTGAATGATGCATCCGCTAAAATACTGGAATTTATGGCTGCATTACGAGCTAATTTGAGAGAATCAACAATGTTCAAGTATGCATTGCTTGCCTCTAGTGCAATATTAGCATCGTGTCTGATTGGTTTAAAAATCCTAAACAAATAAGATTATTATTATGATTTAGCTACTCAGTTGTGTACATTTATTTGACAAAAATATCTCACTCTGAATATTTTTGAGCGGTCTGCAATAGATAACTAGCATGTAAATCAGCTGAGTTGACCAGAAGTTGATCATCGTCAAATTGAGGATTTGAGTCTTTTCTTTTATTTAAATTCTTCTTGATGCTATCGAATTTCGGTTTAATCAATAACAATTCCTAAAAATATATAAATATTTGAATGAAAAAAAAAAAAGAAGACATTTTTTAATTAAATTACTATGTACCTCAAAGTTGTTTAATGTTGATATATAATTTTCTCGAGCTTCTTTCACTAACATTTCAGTCTCTCCTTGCATTTTGTTGAACATTAAATCAAGATTGTTTATATCTTCTATCATTTGATTTAGTTTTTTCAACGATTGCGAATTTTTTTGTTTTAGTTGAGTTGCCTAATTCACGTTCGAATAATAATGATGCAGTATAAATAAAAAATAATTTTACAGTAATTTTATTTACTTACTAATTCCGAAGTATCAGAAATGTTCAGCAATATAGTGTCAAAATCTTTTACTTGATTTAATAAAGTTTCGAATTTATGACGAAGATTTTTGGTTTGAGCTTGACTGCCACTATTCAACTGGAGATTTTGCATTGCATTCGAACAAGTTCTTATTAAAAAAAAAAAGAAATTTATTTATATTCATTAAAACGTTAAATCAATAAAAAAATGCAAAAGTTTTCCAATTACTTTAATGTAGCTTGAGGTTCAATAGTAGGACCAAAATCAATACTATTTAGTTTATTTAGATAATTTTTGGCTTCTCTCATTGTACTTATTATATTAACATGTGATCGATCTTCAAAGTTATAACTTTGCAAGCTATTAACCAGTTCTGAAAAAGATTTAAGTGATAAATTACGTTGTGTAAATAAAATATATAAGTTATAAATTATAACAATATTAAAACTCTTGATATTGATATTTAAAAAATGGTTCTATAGACTTCATTTACCATAGTCTAGCGTTCAATATAGTTTGTATACAACATACCCTTGAATATGTATTGTTACATACAATTATGATAGTAAATATAATTGCTTGTGAACAAGACAGACAAACTACTTAACTAGATAATAGTAACACATTACTTCCATAATCGAGTTAAAAACAATTTTAATATAGTCATAAATAAATATGTAATTTAACAAACAAATAAAAAATAAATATTTAAAAGACAGAATACTCTTTCATACAAATTATTTAATAAAATTCCATTGTAAGGGATTTTATTTGTATTTTTATAAAAGTAAATTAAAAATATATAAATAAAACATTTTTGTCAACAATTCACATACCATCTACTTCTCTCTCGAGTGATACACTATTGGCTAATCTGCTTTCAGCTAACTCGCGAAGAGGTTCTACTTCATTTTCATTAATTTGAGATGATTTCAATAACTTTTTTGCCTGCGAAATTAATATAATATTAATACATTCTTCAAATTGAGAACAACTCGAAAATTGACATACTTTAACAAAAGAATATTTAGATTTTTTCTTAAGATTTTGTTCTACTTCTTCAGAGAGACTGACAAGTTTTAGATTCACTTGACTTGATGTGTTCAACATGTTATTTAGTAATGTCACATTATCTCTAACTAGAGATAATTGAGACCAAGGAGGAGATATCTTTCCTTCAGATAGATGAAGAGTGGTTTCATTTAGAGTTTTAATTTGTGTAGCTACATGGTTTAACAACGTGTCAATGCATTTATCTTCACACGCTATACGGGATTAAATTTAACGCATTGTAAAAATACAAATACATTTGAAATAAATAAATATTAGTGAAAAAAAAGAACTTTAAATGATTATGAAAAACATTTTCTTACGTGTACACCCTTTGCTGGTCAAAACGTGTTTATCTTGACACACTGAACAGTCTCTACCAGTAATGTTGGGCATACAGTTGCACTGACCAGTTTCTTCATCACATTCGTCGCTTACAATGCCAAATTTATTACAACGGCACGGTTCACATTTGCCGCCTTCTTCGCGAGGGTATCCGAACCAACCGTATTCGCATCTACAATCAACGTGTCATTAGCACCTACTTACGAAAATTGCTATGGAAATAAGAATATATACGGAAATCGATTATTCTTACTGATCACACATGCTTCCTTTGTAACCTTGTTTGCAGCGGCAAATTAGTTTTCCATCGAAATCGATTTCACACGATTGAGCGTAGTTCTTCGTTACTGATGGGCATGCACACGGTTTGCAGCCATCAGTGGACGGGTCTCCGTAGTACCCTTCAGCGCACACTTCACAATGAGCGCCGCCGGTGTTATGCGAACAGTTCTGAAATCAAAACCAATATTTTCAGCATGAGTTAATGAGCATAAAACATTTTCTGTTACGATGCGTACCCTGCAATGTCCAGTGTCAACGTTACAGATATTAGACCGTCCGTTGCATTCGCATTGGCGAGCTTCACCGACTGTTTGTATTATTATCGTGGCGCTGGCTGAAGTGTTATAATAACGGAAATATCCCAAATTCGGGTCTTGGCAAGAGGAAGAACTATACTCCGGCGGACAGTCACAAACTTCGACCATCTGAGAAGTGGTCAAGTGGTTGGTTTTCTTTTCAGCCATTATGGCAGTGTCTAATGTAACACCTTTTAAACTGTAACAGAAAATCATCACGATTAACAAATAGGATTGTTACCTAACTAATATGGTCGTTTAGGTACTTACGTAGCTTTGGTAAAATCTACCGAATCGGTGGCCCTGATAAATATATACTTAATGTTTTGCAGAGCAAGCATTAGTGTTTCTCTGCTGACTTTGGCACGTGGATTATTTTTTACTTGCCAAAGAGACTCGTGCAACCTATTTTTAAATTTTTTTTTTGTAGTTTGTAAATAAATCATGTATTAATTAAGTTATTAAAAAAAAATTGTATATCCACTCTACCTCACTTGATGACTTGATGTCCCTACGTTAATGGTTTCCGGAAAATGTTCCAATATTATATGATCATTTCCTTGAATTTGAATCAGCGGATATGAAGTGAGGATGAATTGAGGAAATAGAGTATTTCCTCCTTCTGCATCAATAGTGAACCGTATGTGACCACCATATGACAGTATCTAATTAAACAACTCGGTTAAAAATGTAGACTTAAACGATAATAATATCAATATGAACCTTATCTCCAGTGAATCGTTTTGGAAGTTGCCAATAAACAGGTGTATCAAACAAATATTTTACTCCAATTTCAACGTTACTTATAGTTCCAGGGATAACTCTAAGATTATTTGTGACATTAAGTTGATTCCGTTCTTCTTTATTGGGTTTTAATCCTGTATTGTCTGGATTCACAAGCTAAAAATATAATTAAGTTGTAATTATTTTCATTAATATAAATCTGATGGAAATTGACAATAGGTGGACCAGTGTTAAGTTATAGTTTTAATCTTACATTAATATAACATATTTCTTGAATATTGACCGGGTAATCACCCTCTCGGTACAAAGTGCTGTTATTGGTATCATAGTGTATGGACAAAGTACGCGTTTGTGGCAATTGAATTTGATTCCATGTTAGACCAGCAGCTGAACAGGAGTTACTTCTACCAAAGCAGAAACATGGGATGCATCCATCAGTGTTAATCGGATTGAGTGCAAAAGTTCCTTCTTTACATTGATCACATCGTTTACCATAAACATTACTCTGTGTATACAACAAAATATAATCAATATTAATTTTGTTTTGAAAACTATGTGTGATGCAACATTACCTTGCATTCACACTGTCCAAATTCATCACAATCACACAATGTTCCATTGCATTTATTTGGTTCACTTCCACCATAATTACAAGCACATGGTCGGCATCTGGGGTATCCATAATAACCGAATGAGCATTTATCACATTTTAGACCATCATAACCAGTACGACAGACACATGATCCAGTTTCATTATTGCAAAGTCCATTGTATGATCCAAATGAATCACAATGACATTCCTGAAAAAAAAAAAAAAATAAATAAATAAAATGTTGAATAATGAACAACTTCGCTATTTATCTAAAAAAAAACTAACTTGGCACCCTTTGTTGACTTCCCAACCAAAAGCATTAGCCGAACATGTACTACAATTCGGTCCTTCTGTTAATTGAGGACACACACATCTTCCGGTATCCAAATCACACGTATGTCCTGGTTTTTCACATATTTCACATTCTAACAAGTAATCAAATTTAGTGTTAAAATAGTGTAAGTGGATTCAACATTTCTATCGATTACCTGAACAACCCAATATTGAAAATCCATAGAAGTTTGACTGACACTGATCACATAATTGACCTTCAACTCCTGGCTTACAAGTACATTGTCCAGTTAAAGGATTACATATATCATTAAGAGCACCTATTTTGTCACAATTACACTTTTGACAACCCGCCTCAGAAATATTCCAAAACCCTTCCTGTAAATATAACGAATTAACACAATACATTTTCAAAATTACTTTTGATTTACATTAAACTGTCAGTACTTACACTACAAGAATCACATTGATCACCTTTAACGTTTGATCGGCAATTGCATTGGCCAGTTGTAGGATCACAAATATTATTGCTACTTCCTGTGGAATTACACTGACATTCTACGAAAGAATAAAAGAAAATTAAACTCCAAAGCAGATATTAGAATTATTATAAATAGGTATATTAATATATAATAATTAATATATTAAATATTATATAATATTAAAATAATAATAATAATATTAATAATAATAATAATAATAATAATAATAATATAATTATAATAAACATATTATATAGATACATATTAGACCATGATACTTCAATGAGGTCTAAATATTCACTTACCGATACAACCATGAGTTGAAAATTTATGGAAACCGTCACTGCACGCATCACAATTTTCTCCCGTTACACCCTTTTTACACGGGCATAATCCAGATCTGGGATCACATAAATCTGATATAGATCCAGTAAGATTGCAGTTGCACTCCACGCATTCAGCAGTTGTATTACCTAAGCCATCCTATTGACATTCGATTTGTATTTATAAGAAGTCATATTTTGTGTTACACAGGGAAATTAATATATTACCACACAACGATCACATGTCCTTCCGGTAAAATTTTCTTTGCACTGACACTGACCCGTATTTACATTACAAGAGTCAGTGACAATTGATCCGATAGGATTACAATCGCATGCTAAAAAAAAAACAACATAAGTTATTGATGTCCACATTTTTCGTGCTATCGAAGGATATAATGATTATATTACACAATTTGCAACATAAAGCGTATATACTACTCACGTCTGCAGTCAGAGATAATGGGGTTTCCAAAATGTCCAGGTTTGCATTCCTTACAGTTCCATCCAATGGTGTTCCCGAGACAATTTATGCATTGTCCCGTCAGGTTATCGCAAGGCGCTTCGTTGCAATCGCATGGTTTACAAGTCGAACCGACTATTAATGGGTTTCCGTAGTACGATGGAGCACACCTAAACGAAAATATTTCCAACATTAATACTGTTGATACCGACTGCATTAAACAGGTGAGATTCAGTATACATTTCACAGTGGTCACCGGTGTATCCCTCAGGACAATCAGTGCAAACATAACCCCCGTCGTCATTTGATTTGCAAGTGGGACTGAAATTGTTCGTACTCTCCTCCAAAGGGCAAGCGCATTTCTTACAATCATTCGGCGTGCCATCAATTGCGTTTCCGTAGAAACCAACAATGCACTCATTGCACTGCGGTCCGGTTGTGTTGTGTTCACATATCTATAATAACCGAACAACAGTGAATGACGGGCATAACGTATTTAAATTTATGGTAGGCATAATTATATGAACAATTTCGCACGATATATTATTATTAGTCTTACCGAACAATGGCTTGACATTTGGTCACATTCCGGCGAATGATTGTGACAGTTACACTTTTTGCAAACTATGTTCGTTGAAAACGGATCGATTTGTTTCACATAACCGTAGTCACATGTTTCACAAGACATTCCCGAATATCCTGTTGGGCAAGTACAATTTTCTATTCCGTCGACCGTCCGTCCACTTCCGTTTACGTCTCCCATATCCATGTACGCATTGATTAAACTGAAAGTATTTCGAACAGTTAAATCAGTATAATAATAATACACATAAATAATAATCTTTCGTGACCACAATAAATCGTATACATTATGATCGATGTGCGTACGTACCTCGATTCAACTTGATTGGTGTGGTACTTCGCTTTGATCAGCACGTGCTTTATATCGGACAGGATCGATAAGAATTCGTCGCGAGACACTTGAGTGTTGTCGATCGGTGTTTCGAGGTTCTTGAAATCTTTCGTCACATAAAACCAATCGTCCTCCGTTAATCTCACATCGCCAGTAATCGTGTTGGAAGTCCTGAAGCTCTTGCCGCCGTAAGCGATCAAAATGTTTTCTTTGGCCTAAGAATACATAAAATGATATTAAACACGGACGGTTTTCAACGCGGTCGTTGATCGGATGCACACGGAACACAATATGCGGTTGTTTGTGCGCACAACGCGAATGTTCTGTCAGAAGCGTATTAACTGTTGTTAGATCTTACGATTATAATGACGTCGGGATCAATCATTTGTCGACCGCTGGAATCACCTCGCATGACGACCCACGAAATGCTGAAGTGCAAACTGGAACCGTAAGCCGACAGCTTGTTGCCGGCGTACCGACTCGGTGTTAACCAGTAAAACGTGTCGACGTCGACCGGCATGTCGAAAGTGCTGATCATCGTTTGTCCCGTAGCTGGGTCCGTCGACGGGAACACGGTCTTGGACAGTTTTAGATCCGTTATCAGCCATCCCTCGGTTTCGTCGATCTGAACACAAAATACAAAGCATAATGGTCGATCGCGCACGACGGCGGTCCGTCAACGGCTGCCGAAAAAGCCTACTCACCCGGGATTCTCTCAAGCCGGTGGCGGCCGTGCACACTGTCGACACGCCCGAGCAGAAACACTTTTCGCAGCCTTCCGGGTTCGCGGCTCGCAAATTGAAATATCCCGCCTCACACTTGTCGCAACCATCTCCCGTTACGTGTTCCTGTGGGCAACGTCGAAACGTTAAAATACGCGTCCTCGTCGACAGGTTTTATTCTAACGGGCGGTACGACCCAAAAGTGGGTAGTTGAAAAAATCAAAAGTGCAGTTGACTTTATAAATATGGGCACCATACATAAATATAATTTTCTTTGTAGAACGATTGAATTTCTATAGAGTATTTGCAATTTGTGTGATTTGTCAACCCAACCTAGTATCTAATGAGTAATAGTTATGTAAGTTTACAATTTTTGCTACTTCGATCGATTGATTAATCTATGAAATTTAAATTTAAACAGTGGTGCACGTAAAAGATCCGTATTTTTTTTTTTTTAAATATTTTACCACGCGATAGTCAAAATTCTAAAATATCAATATACGATTTATTCGGTGAGGGGGTAAGTATTATAATCCAAATATATTTCATAAAACAAACTTTTCAGTGTATTTGAGCGGTAGGTAAAAATCCTTAGGACAAGCCCTGTCCGCTAGTACGGACAACTTGCGCGTTAAACTCACTTTGCAGTCGCATTGGTTGTCGCACGACAACGGCGCCGTCTTGGTCCCTCGTTCGTCGCAGGCGCACGGCTTGCAGTCCGGGAACCCGTTGTAGCCGGGGGCGCATTCGTTACACTTGGCGCCACCGTACCCTTTCAGGCAGTTGCACAGTCCCGTACCCTGTGGCACATAAAAACATGGCGATTAATTTCAACAAACGAGGTGTGTTGTACGATGAAAATGACGTACAGTATCCTTGTCGGGTAGGCACACGTTGCCGTCGGACCCGACGGGGTGACAGTCGCAAGGCAAACACGGTACTGGATCGTCGGGTCTGACGTCGTACGGACGATACCATCCGGCCTCGCACACTTCGCAATTCGTGCCCGTCGTGTGTTTCTGAAACGGACGAATTAAACATTAAACATTCACGCGACAACAACAACATATTAACAGCAAGATGTTCCCGTTCGCCTACTCACGGTGCAATTTATGCAAAATCCGCCTCCGGAATACGTCCCGTAGATGTCCAGACTGGACTTCTCTGCGTCCACGATCGGATCGTATTGGCATTCCGTAGCATGGCCGTGACATTGGCATTTCTCGCAAGAAGTCGGACCGGACTTCCACGGCCGCTGGTTGTACAACGGACAACATCTGTCACACCTCGGGCCACACGTATTATGAAGACAATCGCAACTGGGTTCCTGTAAATATATTTATCGACATTGATGACGTCTGTAGCGAAACACATGTACATAATAAAAACATTGGATTTTAATTGAAATCAAAATTCAATACGTCAATAACGCAGTGAAGATATTATTGTCTTAATGATTTATAACGTATGATTTTCCGAAAAAACGTAGATAGAAATTGATTTAATAAGTAAACGATTTACCATGGTAAGTTATCTAAAGTTAACACTTGCAAAACGATCAACTATTATACATTTTTATCTATTTTTTGTAAATGCTTTTTCAAAGTCCGCTGATTCAAAAATAATTATAAATTTACTTCTAATAATTTAAATAATTCATTAAATACATTTTTAACTACAAAATATTAGAAAACAGTAAATTTCTCAAAAAAATGATTGCACTAATATTTTTCTTTGCATGCCCAGTCAGAATGACTCTTAAAAAAAACCCCTGCAATCTAAAAATAATAAATCTATGTAAAATACAATTTATATATATATTCTATCGAATATAAACTTACAGTCTCGATGAGTAAAACTTACTGAATTTTCTGACATCTGTTTACATTTCCTTGCATGGCCGTTGCAAATACATCTCCCAGCAATCAATATATCTTTGATCGAATAGAACAGTTTTCGTTTAAACGAATTGTCTAGCATGGCCATCTTGTCGTTGGGAAAAATGATTTTTTGCAGTCTCAGTCGGATATATTGGGCAGTGGAAAATTCGAAAACTTCAGCTAACGACATGTTAATGGTGTTTTGTCCCTTAAGAAGGTTCATGTGGATCTGTCGAATGAATAATTAAATAATACAAAAATTAAATAACAATTAATAATAATTAAATGGTTAATACTTGTCAATTAATACATAAATAATTAATCAAAATTGTTATTATATATTTTGTACTATGAATATTTTACTTCTGCGTTTTCGTGGGGTTTGAAACGTGAAAATGAAGTGATGCAAGTGGGATCCCGACGAATCTGCACACTTTTATCTTTGTAGAAAGAAGGTTGTACGTTGTATTTCTGGACGCATTCGTCGCCGTTGATGGCGAAATACTGCCATGGCTTGTATTGCATGCCACCGTCTGTCGACCTCTCCAGAATCCAATTGCCGGGTCTCGGCGAAATACCAAATTTAATAATAATCGACGACACTTGATAAACCTAAAACGATAAATGCATCAGATATAGTCGGTGGTTCACTATTTATAGTGAGTTCCAATGGCTCATAATGTATACGAGAATATCAACGATATATTTTTCAAAGTGTTTTAATATTTAATTGTGTTTTTACATAATATAAATACACAAAGCCAAGAACAGAATATTATGATAAACATGTGTAACATATATGCTGTAAACATATTTAATCTTGATCTTTAAGGTTTTGTTTAGTAACACAAATTAAAATAAAACGTAAAACACACACACTCAAACACATACATATTCGGTTGTAAAATTAAAAATAGAAAATTATATAATTTATAGCGTTTAAAAGACAAAAGTAATTACATTCAAATAGTTGTTATAAATTGTTAATAATTGTATCATTCATAATGGCATTTAAAATATCAACGAAACCTAAAAAAAATTCAATGTATATTATTTATAAACACTTCGATAGTGTCCTAGTATAGTATTTATCGCATTAACCTAAATTGTTTTAATTACGACTCAACACTCGACATAACATCAATCATTGTATTATTTTTTATAGTTCCATCATATTTTAAGACAGACAATTGCATATGCATTTATTATTCGGACGATAAAAACTTAATGAGTCGGTGTTTTAATTTTCATATCCATTTATTTATATATATATATATATATATATATATATATATATACATATATTATGCATGATTATGTCCTGTTTATTCGCTTGTGTGAACCGCTTACAAGTATTTTGATATTTTTTTCAGGCTCGTAAATTAAATAGTCATTATACCCGTTTTGCGAGACGGTTTGTTGAACGTTATACGAAAATGTCAAGCAAAATTAATTAATTCTGTGGAAAATTCGGTTCATAAATTTTAAACCCAAATCAAATACTATTTGTACTACGTTTCGTTGTGCAGGACATGACTAGAGGAGAAGATATCAATATCCATTGCACGTCCGTCGAACAGAATATCTGGATACGATATTGTAACGTCTTCGAATTGCATAGTCTTTTCTCCCGTCATGAGTTATATCAAAATAATAATTAAATGTGGAATACAAAAATTGTAAATAATTATTTTGGAATATTTCAAACGTATCACTGTGATTACACTGTGCACTAATGACATGTATAAAAAAAACAAATTCATACTTATGATATTTTTATATTTGATGCTATATATATATACCGTGTTTGTAATAATATAATATGTATATACCATATATAGATCATATATAAAAACATCATTAGTATAAATACGTTTTCTTTTTTTTTTTACATGTCATTAGCAAAATAATCAAATATAACTGTTAACTGATAATGTTAATTTAAACTTTGACAACGAAAAACATCAATATGCTACACACTATTTGTGAATATTTTTCAAGTATAAAACAAAGTTCAGCTTCTATTGATTAGTATTTATATCGTTATTCGTTAATATAAAAATAACAAATTGAGAGGCAAATCGTTATTATGCAGTTGTTTGACAATCCGTGTTATGATTACCAAGTACCAGCACACCGTCACTTCATAAAAATAAAATAATACAATGCACACCCAAAATTGTAATTGCCTTTGAGCAACAGAGGCTCGGGTGAGTTTTTAAAAAAAAAATAAATGTATTATTTGCCTCATAATTCGTATCGCTTGTTTATATTATATTCCATATGATTTGCTCTTATAGTATCCAGCAGCAATCATAACACAAACAACGCAATCACTATTTAATTTTCATCCCGTTACTTTATACCTACGTGAATAAACCGACCGTTTGTTTTGTATTGTTATCTTGATAATGTGATTAAAGATAGATAGTTATATGGTTAAAACAAGTTGTTTTGACTTTCTTGAATAAAATTGGACGTATTAACAAAACCAAAATGCTTAAACGATAATAGTGTTATTATTTTTCTTTTAAGTTGAGAGAAAGTATAAATCTGGTGACACCTTTTACAAAAAAAAAAAAAAACTAAATAATAATGATTGTTAAAGCACTTGAATTATCACATTTAAATTTCAGATTTTGAAAGAATTTCAGTTACTATTGATATAAATTATTATACGATGGTAATGTTTGTACAATGTTATTCGAAAACAAATATGATATTATGAATCCCAATTATTTGCCGTTGTGTCCCACAACAATCACAATTTTAAGTTAGAGGACGATTAAATAAAATATTATTAAGAACAGAATACGTCATACATACTTCCTTGTATTATATTTCGTTATATATGTATTAAAAGCTAACAATGAACCATATTCGAATCGCACTATAGATAAAAGGCTTATTTCACATTTTAGTTAACTAAAACATAAAATAGAAATTTTGTCAAAACTATTGAATTTTTATCAAATAAAACAAAAATTAATTTAAGGAACAAAAAAATAAATATGGTCATTGTTGAGAATTAAAATGAAAAAAAAAAATAATAACAAAAAATATCAACACTATAGTATTTAATAAAAATCGAGACGTTGATAAATAAAATATTGGATTATAATACTTTAATGGTATTTATAAGAATAAATCTTATTAATTTTTCAATTTAATTTTCTAAACACACTATTTTAAGTGAAAAAAATGTTGTAATTATTTGGTCTGAGGCCTGTGTGGGGCACGAAAAAAATGTAACAACGCGTTATATTCGAACACATGATTTGCAAAAGAAATCCGATGAAATACCATTATTTTATATCATTAAACACATACGTCCAATGGGAATATCTCGATAAACACAATAGTACACCACCACATGTATATATACACATGTATACATACGGCTAGGCGGCAGGGTGTAAGGACATTATATCAAGAATGGTATAGAAATAATAATAATTAATTCTGGGTTGTTTTGCGAGTCAAAGTCGTAATCCAACCTATAAATACAAGGGCGCAATGTGTTCGAAGACTGCAAAACTGATTGGAAACACCAAAAACAATTTCTCATTGTGACCAAACCGCCGTGGCTGGTATTATATTAAATACACTCGAAGTACAGATGAGATATACCGATGCGACCGATCGACTTGGTGTACTGTGCCAGCTGTTGCCGTATATACGATAGTGAAAAGGAGAGAGAGAGAGATAGCGGATGGAAAACGATGTATAATAATAATGGAACATTGACGCACGCTTGATCTATACAACACCGAGTATTACCGGCAAATGTAAAAATTATGCTCTCGGGATAAACAAACGGGGTCGGTGCAACGCGTGAATGATTAATGATAAATCCTTTTTTAGAATTTTTCAATTTCTTCTCTATTGCAACGACGAGATGATTTTTTTTAACGGTAAAACGTAAAAACCGAATGAAAGGAACGACCGGCCGCCGAGGAAGGATAATGGCGGTGACGAAGAGGAGGTCCACGCTAACAAACGATAACAGTAATGTAATGATTAAAAATAAAAATCTTTATTGTAATTTCGTTTTTCTTTTGGTCGACTTTCGTTATACAACCCTCGCGCAGTGAATGCCTATTACGGTTTCTGTTCGCATGTGCTTTTCATTACTTTTGTACCCAAATTATTACCAGTAATTTCGTCTTACGAAAAATACAAAATTTAATCTAATCCATAACACACAATATGCCAGTGGAATACGAAATCGCGTATCAAATCCGCAGGAAAATCAGTTCGATTGAGAGATCTGCACGTTCAAACGTTGATTTTTTCTGATTTTTATTATTTTTTCCGTTTCGATGTAACTGTATGTACCAAATCTTGACTATTGTACCAACGCAGCAATAACTATATACTCGTATGTAATATGCTTATTTTAAAATTCTATGAATAATAAAATTGAACTGTACATTTTTAACGAAACGGTATTGTAATAGTATGCAAAGAAGAACAATGTTTGTTTGTCAATGTCATGCTAATAACTAAGGTATAAAACACAAAAAACTTCGGTCTTAATATCTGTCTCGCAGCAATAAAAAGGGGGAAAAATATAAATTCATGTATAAGAGTATATGCTAAATTATATTAACTCAATCCTAATTCAAGCATTATTAATATCAAGCGTGAATATAAATGTTTAAAACGTTTAGAGTTTATCTCTAAAGTATGCCACAAACTTAAATTAATATGGCTGTTATTTTGTTAAATTTTTTAATATTCTTTGAACAATTATTTTGACATTAATATTTTACTTATATACCTAAGCTATTTCGTTTTTTTTAATATTTAATGCTGTATGATAATCATACGATTTATATTTTTAAAAACGAATTTGATTTTTTTGCAAAAATTATTTTTATATTACTAGTAATATTTTGTTGGAGTTAACATTTTTTTTTTGTTGGAGGATTACCTAAATCTGTAAGAGTTTATTATGCCCCGTTTGTTTTACAATTCCAACACGCACATGTCAAAGGTAGAGTAAAATATAAAATTATTTTAAAACAACTCTTGTTATCGTATTACTTATGGGTTTCAGATTTAAATAAGCCAATAAACTGAAACTTTTTCTACAGTTCAAAAGACGGTTAAACTCTTCAAAGTTTCATAATACTATAAGTGATAGTTTTTACTTCCGATGCCTTACATTATTATATTATTGAGATATATATATATATTTTTTTTTTTGCAGAAAATTTACTGAAATATACTCGGTAGCTTTACGAGAGTCGAAAAGTGCAAGGAGTGGTACGACTTAAACATTAAAATACGTGTACAAAGAAGTTTTATAACTTTTGAGAGCATTTTACAGCACTCTTGCTCGCCCTCGTCTATCTGACAGTTCCATTGAACGGTAATACCCTTAATATAGGTCCTCGATGTTTTGGACATGAAATATAATTTTCAACAACAAATTTCTGAACAAAAGGTCAAAAACTCTATTCTCAGGTAAAATTTGCATACATACACATACATACATACATGCATGCATGCATATATGTATATATAATATGCATTAAAACTATTAGGAACTAAAATAAATTAAGTCGGTTTCTGAAACTTCTGAACACTATAAATACATACAATGG